TTTTGCGGGTCCCACACAACGACTCCATCTCGACTCGACATCCAATTCAAACGAAATCTGTTTGAAGCGGCTACCGAAGTCAACGCTGGGTATTAATAGTGGAAACGAGGCTGCTCACTTACCTAGCGAGTCGCCAGTGCAGGCGACTGCAACGTGCGTGCCACAGTGCGTCCGACTGCAAATGGATAGTCGGAGTGCAAAAACGAGAGGCTGCTTACTGTATGCTGTTCACGCTCTCGTAACCAGCGCAGCTTGTTCAGTTCCACGAAAAGAGAGATCCGACGCATCCGAACACTGCACTGCAAGTACTATTAATATTATAGAATAATACTTGTACTAGTAGTATTTAATGACAAGGAGACCTACATGACTCGTAATTAGCGCAACGAACACCAGAACACGCTTACCACTCAAGTGTATCAGCCTGTCGAAAAATTCTGGACCAAAACTGAGATCTGAGAGTCGTTCAAGCTGAGTGATTCTAGACACAATTCGCTGCACTTGAGCTTCAAAACATTGCACTGAGCAGCAACTAGTTTGTCCGTGACGAAAACTGGTCTTGCTCTCGTGATAACCTTACTATATTCACGATGATAACCAAACGTATTAGCGAACTCACCCAAATAAAAGCTCCCTTTCAAATTAATTAAAATGATCATTTCAAACCCCTTTGATATTTTTAAGACTTGTGGAAGTATTGTTTCCACAAGTCTTTAAAAAAAAATGACACTTACGAACCTAAGTACGAATCGCGATTTAAGCCAAGCGGGGCGTCTCCTCTATCTCTTGGACCCTTAAAAGGTACAGAATGCTTAAATCTGAAGAAGTTGTGCTCGCACAAAAATATTATCTCCATTTATGGGCCCTCGAAATGACGATACATTTAGGAGTGTTGTGAGCTCAATATTTTTTTCACTTAAAAAAATCAAGTGTTATTTAAAAGCCCTTGTTAAAAGCAATTGAATAAGGGTATTAATAGTTTTACAGTTTTTTCGATGGAAGTTTACGCCAAATGTTACAGTTCCGGTTATGTGCGAAATCAATTGGCCAACTTTAAGCTCGAATATCTCGAAAAAATTTTTCTAAAAACTCTAAGTGTGTGCTAGATAACATTTCCCAAATTGTTAGGATAAGGGTGGAAAACACCATGTTTGGGGCTTAAAAAGAAGGTTTGCAAATTTTTCTAAAAATTCCATTTTCTCCCCCGGCTTTGGTTTTTGTTGATAAATTTAACGACCAAAGTCATATCCCCCCAAAATCCAACCCAGTCCGCGCGAAAGGAAGCCAGATGGCAACTTAAGCAACGGTCCATTCGCAAACCGGATGCAGTCAGACCCTATAAATCTACGCTTTCGGCTGGTACCGCACAACGCTTCGCACCAGCCCTCTCAGGCTGTGATATACGATGCTCGTGCACATACCTCTGTATCAAAATTGTTTC